TGAATCAGAATATTTCACAGAAAAATAGAACTAATTTTAGCGGCTGTTTTTAGCAGAAAATTTTAAAAGACTTAGATAAATGTTATTTCTTAGCATTGAAAATGTTAAAAATCATTTTGATTTTTTTTTTGAAAAATCTTTTTTATGCAAAGTTATGGAAATTTATGAGATACATGTTAGGAGTGTGATTATGATTAAGAATTTTTTTAAAATATTGTACAAATAAATTTTGCAAATAGTTTTCTCTAAATGACTAAGACTATTGGAAATCTACGATATTTGGTTTATTTCATAAGGATAGAAATAATTACTCACCAAAGCAGAGAAATGGTGGTGCACCGACAGCACTCATATATTGCAATGAAAATAAAACAATTTGAAAGAAAATATAAATAAACCATATTCGTTTAATGAATCGTCGACTTGAAATTAAAAATAGACCAAGCCATATTGCATAAAAAACAGCTATTACATCAAGATGAATAGAAATAACAATTACAGTTATTATATGACATATCTAAATAAATAAATAAATAAATCAATGAAAATAACCATAAATATAACGATTGATTGAAAAATTTCTAGACAAGATTTTTTTGTTTTTTACTTTTGACTTGCTAGAAAATATTTTTGATGAATGAAAAACTAGAATTTTGTGTTTTTTTTTCAAATATAGGTTTAAAAATCTTTTGTCTATTTTTGTTTAATAATATTGAAGAACTTTTTGAAAGATTTGAATTCGTAATGGTAAACCAATAGATTAAATTCCTTGTCAAACAAACTAAAAATTGTCTGAAACAGTCATTATGGATAGGGAACACTTCTCTACAAAATGTCATATTGAACTAAGCATTTACTTTTACTAAATTGAGACTACAAGAATTTATTTTCAAAAGTATTTGTCAACGTCAAACAGTTTTTGATCAAAAAGTCGAATTAAAGTGTCTTGTCCAAAGACAAAAAAGAAACTTGAAATAGTGTATTTTCTAGAGTAGTTTCTACCATACGAACTGATATATAAATAAAGATCTTAACTTTTAGTTTTCAAACTACAATAGTAAAAATACAAAAAAAATCCATCCAAATTGATTCTAAAGATAATTTCACTATTCTCAAAGAAAATTACTAATGAGAAAAAGTTTTCAGATGATTAAAAGCTTTTGAGTTCATATTATGCCCAATTGTAGATGATCGATAGACTAGAATATTCTTCAAAAGATTCGTGTAGACGTTAAAATTTAACTGCGATATTGATTTTTTAGTGGATTTTTTTTATATCGACCCAATTTTTCGATAAAATCATATTGTCGAATTTCGATCTGAAAACCTTGCCTAGATGAAAATCTCAGTGAAAATGTTTTTGAGATATGCATTTTTCATACTTCAACCGTTTTTCAATGGATACCATGTAAAACATGCATGTTTTGAAAGTTGCATATCTTAGAGGCAATCAATTGAAAACTTTTGAAATTTTTTGCACAAGGCACTCTCACTGAAACCTTCATCTGGACAAAGTTTTTAGTTCAAAATTCAACAATAGAATTTTATCAAAAAAAATTCGATCCATTCAGAGAGAATATTCACTAAATAGTTAATATCTCGATCAAATCTTAACGTTATCACAAAATCTTTGAAGCCTGCTCTAATTTATAGGTTCTCTGTCACTAGACAAAATATGGACTCAACATTTTTTAATCATTTCGGAATCTTTTCTCGTAAACTCATATTTGAAAAGAGCACAAGCTCATAGTTTCTGACCAAAAACTTTCCGATAAAGTATTATCTCTATAAAAATAAAAATCTAATTTCTTACTTCCAAACAAAATCGATAGAAAAGAAAATTCATTAAATATTTCAAGAAATCGATTACACTTCGATCAGCTTGTTGATAACTATCAATATCATATTCATATTCATAAGTATGATCAAGAAGTTTTTTTAATGCATATGGTTGAAATAAAATAGGAAAACGATTTTCAATAAGATGAACATTAAAATGAACTGATAATGTTAAACGACGATATCTTTGTCGATATCGTACAATAGCATCAAATGTTAAAATAACTGTTAATAATATATATATCTATGAAAAAAAAGAAAAACAAAACAAAAAAAAAACAATCTTTTTATTTCTTCTTTATAAAAATATTCATCGTTATTTACTCTAACAAATTGATCAATATGTGATCTTAATTCGAAACCAAACCATTTTGCTGTATCATTAGGAATCATATTAGAATTTAAACCAAATGTTATATTTCGATTATTCTAAATTAATTATTTACTTTTCTTTAAAAAAGTTTTGTGTGTGTGTGTTTTTTTTAATTATTTACTTGAGAACAATTTTTAACAAAAATATTTTTTTCAATTATTTCTTGTTTTACTATTTCTAATTGATAACACATCGATGTAAGAATATAAATGCCAGAAATAATTAATGCTAATAAACGAATAATTGTTCGAAGACGAAATAATGTTAAACCAAGTATTGTTAAAATAATTAATGAAACATTAAATGCACAAACCTAAATAAGAATAAGAATAAAAATAAAACAAAACAAAACAAAACAAAGCACAGAACTTTTTCATTTTACTTTGACTAATGACACAAGAACCATTATAAAAAGAAAAAGCTTATAGGAATGTAATTCAGCATAACGCCAACTATAATAAATTATTTGTTTATATAAACGATTTGCTTGAAAATAAAATTTATATAAAGATTCTTGCCAAGTTTTTGGTTGATTATTTAATATTTGTTGACTATGAGAACTATTTAGATTTTCAGTATTTTCTAAATAAAAATCACAAATGAAAAATATAAATATAAATATAAAAAGAAATTTTACCTTTGGCATAAGCATGAATACCTTTTAATGTACTATTTGCTGGACCTTGAATATTTTTATCACTAGAAAAAGTTTATATAATAATTTCTTCAATAGAAAAATTCAAAGATAAAAATACATAGAGATCGCTTATGGCTTTTTTTTCTTTCATAAATGTAATAAATACTTTTCAAATTGAACAAGGAATTCATAAATAGAGAAATACAGCTCTTAGTACTATGCCGATATATCGCTTCAAAAGAAAGATCGTACGGCTTGTCCGACTAACGGTCAACCAGAGTGATTAAAGTAGAAGCTCGATATTTTCAGAAGCTAATAACGTCATATTTTATAGAACACAACTTTCTGTGTTAAGAAACGTATTTCATTTTATCTTTTCTTCGCACAGCTGGAAAAATGATGTACAAAACAGACTTGGTGTGTTTTTCAAAAATTCTTGCTGTTTTCTTACATACAAAGGAAATTGTGGGAAAAGGGTGAAAACGCAACTGAATATTAAATAGTGATTTATATAGTCTGAGTGTACAAAGTTAGGGCTTTCTTCTCCTACAACTTTTATCTGATCCACGATTGCGGGAAAAATATGAAGATTATCTTAAAACTTGATAAATTCTAGTGTGAGTGTGTTACCAAAAAGAACTCTTACGTTAGTTCATTTCACGCTACAACCATAGAGAAGATGTTCGAACCGCTCAGAATCGTTCGTGAACTTTTCACGAAGCATCCAACGGTCGATTTACTTTTCGATTATTCCTTTCTGTTAACAAAAAAATTTGTAACACACTCACGCAATGAACATTTTAGCATTTGATGTTTTTTTGACCTCATGATAGATAATACTCAGTTTTTGCCCATTACGCAGATCCTAATGTGATTGCTATGTTGATGATGATTCAGTTACTCTTTCAGTTGTAGAAAAGTAACAAAAAATTACAGTAAAAATTGACTATAATAGTATTTTGTTTAAAAATGACCTCCATAACTCGATAACGAATTGTTCCTAGAGGTTTCGCATTTTAAATATGATCAATAACTTCTAGCATTTTAAGAATTATGTTACGTTAATAATAAAACAAGCAAAACTAACTAAACATTAACTCATTGTATAGTAATATTTCGTTCGAAAAGTTTGAAGGGCCGGAAAAATGGCAAAAGACACTTTTGTTACTAAGATAGAAGAATTAATTAGATCTTTACGAATGAAAATGCCCAAGAAAGTACGAGTTTATTTCGTGAATATTAAGATTATATCACGAAAATAGCATGATACTTTTGAGAAAGAATTTGTTTAGTAGATAGATTCAGCTGTTCCATGCAAAGCTGCTTTTGGCTAAGAATTTTTGTCGTCTTCGGATTCACCGAAACTTTAAGACACTGGCACTAGCAGAAAAGAAGCTTCGTGTGCAAATGCAGAAGTAACATGTGGCTTCTCCCTGATGAACATCAAGTATAAAATCAATTGATACAAAATGTATCGAGATAATATCATTCCTGGACTATCTAGATAGTCTAAATTCAAAGGCTCATGTTCGTTTCTATAAGAACTTTGGTTCAAAAGTAGAAAACAAAGAGCTCGTTGTTATCTGAAGAGAAACAAAAAAATAACCTGGTAAGTTGCATCTTGTACTTTATGCATATATCACAAGGTTCTTTTTTTTTTTTTAACATATAGTATTTATTGTGCCATAAGTGGTTCACATTATAATAAGAAGAGTAGTAATCACAAAAAATAGAAAAGAGTGTAATCATAACAGCATGTACAAGCTGGTTGTTTCCCAGGCAAGGATCATACCTCCCAATATATAAAAAAAGGAAAAAAAAAAGAATATGGAACATAAGAGAAATAAATAGATCCGAGAACCGAAGAGAAAAGACAATACAAAAATAGAGGATTGTTTTTGTGAAATGAACAAGGTCAAAAGACATATTAGTGTGTGTTACATGTAAAGCTAGAGAACAGGTATTTGTTCGCTTTAGATATGGATTAGTTCATTTTATTAAAAGGACTTATTGTATCGTGCACTGCTCCTACACAAAAATATTTATATATAAATAAATTGATAGATACGGTGCTAATTGTGTAGTGATCTTTATGTAGATGATAAACATTTTCAAATTCATGCCATTCCGATAGTGTGTGTTGTGCTCGTGTCTTCAACCTCCTATGGAATAGACTTCGTTTATTGAACCCCATGTCTCTATACCAACTCAAGTCATGGGACGTTGCAATCGTATATGCTTGCCATGTTTGTTGATAAACTAAAGCGTCGTGTGATCTTTCAAGATGTAGACTAAATTTTGCCCAGTATGCGTATAGATGGTCGAGAAGGGATTTCTCTCTACTCAAAATAAGAGTGGTTTCGTCGTCCCAACTATATAGGGAAAAAACACATTTTATACCAGAACAGTACACATGTTCCAAATATCTACGTTGTTTATCAGTAAAGAAAAACCAAGTTGCGAATAACCAAATGAAGTGGGGCATCACGAAAGCCGAAAAAATTTTCTTTCTAACTTTAATATTTGTCTTCGGGATGGAGTGAAATAGAATTTTCATTCCGCGATAGACAGTTCTTATCATTTTAATTCTTTCGCTGATATAAATGTTCCATCCTAGCTTCATTGAGATCCTTACACCCAGATACTTGAAACTCTTTACGTATTCAATGGGTTGACCTCTCAACTCGAGTTTAGGTTGCAGTGGTGCAACAACACTATGTACCAACAGTGCCTTCGTCTTCCTAATATTTATCGGAAGAATGTAGTCATCTGAGAACTTTCCCAATCGTTCTAGCACTACTTTGGCTCTCGCTTCAAGTTCAATAATGTTTTTCGAAAACCTTTTGTCTATATCACCTGATATTTGGATCGCCAAATCGTCGGCAAACATGTGAGATGTTACCGCGAAGAAACAGGAGGGGAGGAAATGTACGTGGAGGCGAAAAAGTGTCGCCGCTAACACAGATCCCTGTGGTGCGCCTACATGCATGGGAATAGTACGAGAATGTGATTCTCCAAAGTGTATCGAGAGAGAACGATTTTGAAGCCAGTTGTATATCCATTTAAGAAGTGCAATTGGCATTCCTAAGTTTTTTAGGTTAGCAATAAGGGATGGGTACCACATCTTATCAAACGCGCTTAAAAAGTCAACAAACAATACTAATGCTGGACGGTTGCACGCGGCGACCGTTAATCTCAAATCCTCAACCAACGATAAAATACGCGTTTGTAGCCTCCTACCTGCCGTAAATCCACTTTGTTCATCAATATATATATTATTATCATTGCACCAAGATATTATTCTATGGTGAATTATTCTTTCAAAAAGTTTTCCAATATTCGGCAGTAGAGATATTGGACGCAATTTGTTAACTGTTGGGAATAAACCTTCCTTGGATAGACATACCACTTTGGCATGTTTGGCCGAGCGAAAAAAATCACCCTTTTCTGCGCAACGATTAAATAAAACTGTAATAATATTAATAAACTGTATAGGTAATTTTTTAAGTAAAAAAGCAGATGTATCTGCACTGTCAGTAGATTTTTTCGGTCGTATTTTTTTCCATTCACTTAGAACCTCTTCTAATTCTATTTGTGCAAGTGGCAAATCAGGTGTTGAAGCTATTTCTTTGTAGGCGGACATTGAATGCACGTGCGCGAGATTAGCTCTATCATAGCTAGGTACTTCAAAGTGTTTCTCATAGTGATCTGCTAATAATTCAACAATTTTATCCGGATTCGTTTCTCTATCATTATTATCGAGCGTTAACCCACGAAATGGTGGTGAAAAGGTATGAAATATAGGTTTAACATATTTCCATATATTCTGATTTTCATTCATCCAATTTAACTTTCTCTCACGTTGCTTTTGCAAGAATTGACATCTTTCTTCAATAAAAATTTTTTTGATATTCAAAAATTTTTCAAGCTGATTTGGAAGTTTAGAACGACGATAACGTCTTCGGTATTTGTTCACTTCTCTAGCTAGTAACACTAATGATGGAGGCCATGGAGGCCTAAAATTGTCAACTCGCTCGTAAACACTACATCGATCCCATAAGGCCGATAGGAAGAGCGAAAAAAGTTCAATAAAAGGATTTACATCAAAATTATACACTAACGTATTCCAATACTCAAATACAATTGTTAAAAAGAAAGTGAAAACATTCCAATTTGTTTTTCTGAAAAAAGATCCCTCATCCGCGCAATAAGATGATTGAAATAGTATAGGACGATGGTCGGAGGTACCTTCTTCGAGTACTTCGCTTTTCCATCCACTCGCATCATGAGTAATACCGAAATCAATCACCGTGTCTGATCTTCGCGACGTCGCCTTGTCAGGAGAAATAACTTCCACCCCTGATTGTTCGAGCCAATTAAACAACTGATTGCCACTAGGATTACTTTTCGTACAATTCCAATGACCGTGTTTCGCATTAAAATCTCCAAAAAAAATAAATGCCTCATCCTTATACTTATCAAGAAGGTGAAAAGGTGGAGAAGAAGAAGGTGGAACATAAATTGCACCTACTTTCATTTGTTCACCTGTAATATATATTTCTATTACTAAAAAATTTATATCCCTTTCGATCACCTGACATTTTAGCTTATCACTATAAAAAATCGCAACACCCCCATATGAATTACTACCAGCTTGTGCTAATCCTTTATACCCTGGCAAAGAGGGAAGTCTTCTCGTTGCTACTCCAACTCCGGATAAAATACATATATGTGGTTGATGATTATTCAAAAGAATATCAATGTCTGTTATATGTGTATTTAGTCCTTCAACATTATATACCAAAAATAAAATATTTCGAGATAGGTGCTCAGGTCGTTTTTTTCTCCATCTAGCACACATACTTGATATAGAAGTACGTGTATTCCATTCTACTAATATGTCTTTTAAAATTTTCTTTTCACAAGCTGTTCCATTAAAGGGATCAAGAACAGAAAAGGGTTTACATGTCGGTGAATAACGAAAAACTTTACTGTTCATTTGATGACATAAGTTCTAGGCCATGACGAAATATATCATTTGTTTTTTCATTTAACATCGCTGTTGCACGTTGATGTTCAATAACAAGATCATTCCGATCATTCAACATAACCAAATTTTGTTCGATGGTAAATTGAAGAATATTATATTCATTTTTTAAATTAATATCCTCATTATTTTTAACAATTTTTTCAATAAATATATGTAATGATTTTAATGAACTAGTAATAATTGGTACAACCTCATTTACCACAGTGTAAACTTTAGAAATACAATCGTTCTATTGAGTATTTTGTAATACTAGAAGATTTAACATTGTGTTTAATTTTACTTTATTATTTTCATATTTAATCATCAACTCCTTTTCACGTTGATCAAAAACTAATTTCAATTTCTCATAATCATTTCGTAATAACTTTATTTCCTTCTTCATATCATCATAAAAATCTTGTTTAAACCTATCATCATAATTTTGTGTTACTGGTTGATTAAGTGATGGCCAAACATTAGTATGCGATGAATGAAGGTACGATGGAGAAGGTATGTGTTCTTTCTGTTGACAACCTATAAAATTTTTACCACCATTCCGAAATTCAACTGGTATAAATAATTGTATATTTTGTGGTAATAATTCCGGTCTCCTTTTTAATTCATCAATTAATTCACCTCTAAATTTCACAATAACAGGACATCGATAATCTGTTGCAATATGTTCACCTTCACAGTGATGGCACTTTATTAAACATTGAATATGATCACCTTGTGCTTTATTCATACCACACCTTTTGCATCTATCGAATGGTCCATTACATTCTTTTCTTATGTGTCCTGGACGATTACATCTAGAACAAATAAGTAGTTTTGGAGGTGCTAAAAATTCAGTAACCTCAATTAAATAACCATTGAGTGGAAAAACACCACTATTTAATATCTTCTTCGTTTCTTCCTTCGAGGTTAGGTCAAGTCTAATATGTCTTGACTTGTTTGTCATCGACCCTTTCATTTCTTCCAACAGCAATTTTGATTGACAAACATCAGACACTGCTTCTAGTAATTCATCAAACGAAATTGTCCTTGGTACATATTTAAATATAATCGAATGTTGAGGGGGAAGATGAGTTGGAGGAACTGGTGTGATTAATGTATTTAATAATTTAGGAGGATAATGATCTACATCCCATAAATATACAAATAATTCGATCTGACTTGTAAAACATATTAAATCACCTTGTTTATCAACATACCATGTATCAAAACCAATAGGTCGATTATATTGATTATTTAATTTACAAAAATCATCATGTATATGTATAAATAAAGCTTTCATTATATTTTTACCTTCTATCTGATCTTTTACACCGGGTTGACATGTAATTTTTAACGAAGGAAGTTGGTAGTTTACGGCATATTGTAGAGCATGTTGTGTAATATTAGGTCTAGAATAAGACTGTATATTTTTTTCATCAGCTTGTCGACGTGCATTGTTAATATTATCTTTCATCACTATAGTTTCACACACTTCTTCACCTCTTCTTTGTTCATTTATTTTCTTCCCATTATTTGATTGAGAATTAAAAATAATTCGTCCAATGTTATTTCTTTTTTCGTTTATCTTTTGTCCTTGATAACCTTTAGATGTCGCTTGTTCTGGATTATCATCCAGTACATTATACCCATGTAACCATTTTTATGGCTTGTGACGCGTTTCTGAGCGTTTTGACAATATATCGTGACGCGTTAGAACGCATCCAAAATGCAACATTTTGAGACGTCCAAACGCGTTTCATTCAATAAACGCATCTGCACTGGTTTAAATTCTAAAAGCATCAGAACTCGTTCACATATAAAGACGCGTTCGAACTCATCTAAAATGCAACATTTTCGGGCGTTCAAACGCATTCAGGATGTCAAACTGGATGGTAGAAAGGCTCCTATATTTAAGAACAGCTACGATGCGTTGATTATTAACGACGCATTTAAACGCGTTTTCTAGATTTGATGCTTCTCAGCGTGGTTATTAATAAAAAGTCATTGGTGTGCGTCGGAAAATAGAAACGCGTACAAACTCAAACATAGGCAACGATGCGTGTAGGTGATGCTGTTGTTTTGAATGTATTGTGACCCATGTTTTGAGATAAGCGCGTTTGGATGCGTTTATATTATTCCCAAAAAATTTAAAAAATAACCATCACCCTGTATCGGAATCGAACCGACGCACCATAGCGAGCTATGATATAAGTCTCAAATCCTGTGAGCGACAGAGTGGTAATTTTTTGAGCGACAGCTTGAACTGAAATTTGAACACGCGACCAGTTGAATGCGAACCAAGCACAACTAGCTCTGAGCCATCCGTGGCTCGAAAGTGTTTTTATTTTGTTGAATCAAATAAATAATCCTTTTTACGCTCTTTAGTATAAGATTTGAGAATATGGATATTATCATTTATCTGTATTTCGTAAAATAATCATAAGTAAAATATTTATATTTATAAAATAAAAATAAATAAAAAAAGGTTATTTTTTTAAAATAAAAAGATCTTCATTTTTTAAAATAAAAAACAAAATAACGCATTTATTCGTATAAAATAAAGAAAATTAAATACATTATTTTTAAAAAATTAGAGAAGTTAAACAATGAAAAACGTTTATTCAAAACTAGATAAAAATGTAATTTAGAATGAGGATGAATCATGAAAAGACATATACGAAAAGCTTCTCCATATACAGATTTTAATATGTATGATGATATGGTTTTCTCTGAGATAATTGGAGAAAATAAAATCTTACATTTTATTTTGGAAAAAAATTTCCTTTAACAAACCTTTATTTTCTAAAAATTAAGAACTCGAATTTATTGTTATTTTATAAAAAATAGATAAAATGCTTATTTAATTTTATCTCTTTAAAAATAAATAAAATAGTTCTATTAACATTGCTGTTTTATACTAAGAACAACAGAAATAAGTTAGCATAATTATTTGAAAAATTTCTTTTTGCAAAGTTTAGAAATAATATTAATGAAATTTAAAAAAATGTTTTTTTAAAATAATAGAAATTCAGCAGTCAATTGACGTACAATTTTTTATGTTCTTATTAATATATAAATAATAAAATTGTGCTAATCAAGCATATTTTGTATATTATTGTACAAGTTAATTTTAATAATTGATCAAAATATCAATATTAACTATGCTGATCAGCTTTGAAAATTAATAAGCTAAATGCAGAATATTATTGAGTCTCATACGTTTGATTATATAATCTTATGTATACTTTAAATGTTTATAGTCTATGTAAAAAAATGTTCAAAACTTAATTTAAACAATTTTTTTATTTTTTATAATTCAAATAATAAATATTTTGATACATATATATTAACATATTCAATACGCATCAATTTATTTCATACAAAAATGAAAAAATACTTTTTATGATTATCTCAAAGAAATACTAAAATTTAAATAAAAAAAAATCGTTCTTTTTTTCATGTTTTTTTTGTTTCAAATAATGGTAATAAACATTCAATATACTTTGAATAACCTAAATTAGAATCAATAAAGAAACACATTTAATTGATCTACTAGTATCATATGATTTTTTATGTAATTTAGAAAAATGAACAAGAAAATTTAAAATAAATTAATTTTGTCCTCTAAATTATGATTTGATAATTCAAAGAAAAAAAACAAAGTCAACAATGTGAACGTATTTTTAACGATTCGTTATTTGTTTATGTTTATGTCATGCCTTAAGTCTTTTTTTTTTGAAAAATAACCAATTGCTTTAACGGCTAAACCATTTTGAAAACAATTCGTTATTGCGTTATTTGGAGATAAACACAAGAACTGTTTGCTTTGTTATTTTAAACAAAATCGATATTTCTTAAAATGCAACGATACAGTTCAAAAGCTAGTTTTGCTGATTCTACAACATCATCATGTATTACAAAAGCTAATCATACACATGTTATTATTCAAACAAATGCTGATAATAAAAGTGATAGTAAATACATCGTATTACCTGTTAAAAACCTTGTTAACTTTGGTCGACCATTAAAATCGAATGATTTGGTTACTTATAAAATTGATTTAAAATGTCGTGGTACTAATAGAGGAAAAATTCTTTTATTTGGTGAGTAAATTACTTTTGTATGATTATGATTAATATAAGAAGATATAGAATAGATTTATTTAGTAAAATTATCTTCTCAGTTTTTAATATCTACTATAATTTTTTAATAAACCCACTTTTACACCCTTAAGGTAGATACAAATAAATAGATAAAAATAAATTGATGAAAATAATTTATTTCGTTAGAAACACAAAATGGTAAAAGTTAGTAACAAATATTCTTCTATAGTGGTCATCAACATATCTCACTTTTTGTTATGTCTAATATAATCTCTTTTTTTTATTTATTTTAGGCTCTGAAGAAGATTGTGCTCAACAAGTACAAATATTCTCAACTGTTGGTGATGAAAATGATGCTTCAATTTGCGATAGAGATGAAACAAATAATCCATCTGAATTACAAGAAAACGAACAAGAATTAAATAACCATGCTGATGATGAAGGTATTTATTACATTGATAATATGTTAAGAATTGTACAAAAATTTGTTTGTCCTTAAATTTCAAAATAACACAATATCTTATTTTTGTTCAATGAAAAAGGTTAAATAGAATAATCAATATGATTAACATATGTTTTATATATATACAGATGAGTAATATGTCAAAGTGTCCGGGAGGAAAGATAAAGATGTCAAATCGTTCTATACAGCAAAAGAATGATAATTCTTTTCTTTCCCATATTGTTATATTTTAATTCGTTAAAATTTGTCTCTGCGTTTTCATCTTTATTATTCGATCATATGATACCATATGATAGACATATGAGATTTACTATCAATTAAAATAGTCATTTTCATTTATTTTCTAAACACAAAATGTTCCTTAAAATATAAAGTTTGCATTAACAGAAAAAAAGATTAATCATTAATATAGAGTTTAGTAAACTTTCTATATTATAAAAACATTCAAAAGCAAATAATACATTTTTTTGTATTTTTATTTTTTATTTTTGTATAAAATTAGAAATAAATAAAGAAAATATAAATAATCAAGAATCTTCGGTTGAAATAATCAAAAAAAAGGTTAAAATCACAGCAAAAGGTCAGTGGAATATTAATAGATTCTTTAAATATTTTTTTGGTCTTTAGATTCTCATCAACCTCAATCAACAACAAAATATGACTTGAATAAACATAAGTCCAACAAGAATCAAAACATTCGTAAAATAAAAACGGCAAAACCATTGAGTATGATCTTGTATTCATACTATTGTTTAAAAATATCTTTTATTCTAGATAAGATATTGTTGAGTAAGAACAACAATTCTACAACTAAAGCTGGTTCACATTCAATTGAAAAAGTACCTAAACAAACATCTGTTCAACGAGCAACTACTGCTTCAATATTAACAACGAAAATACCTGCTAGTCAACCGGATAAAAATCAAAAAACATTAGATCATAGTGAGTTATTTTTTCTATAACTATCATTAGGTATTTTCTATGATATTCTAATTTTAAATATTTTCGATTTAAAAACAAATAATTTTGTTTATAAAAAAAAATAATATGATTTTTTTTCAAATAGTGTTAAAGAAAGTAATTGTTGGTACTTCTTCAACTTGTAATTCAATTATTACAATTGGAACATCAACGAAAACACCATCAACAATTAGTTCCAACAAGTGCACACCAAAAAATGTTCGTACACAACAAGGTTCATTAACATCACTACAAAAATTAACAACAAATTCCAATAAAAAGCGTAAATTAAGTCACGAAGGTAAATAAAACACATTCTATTACAAGATTCTCTGAGTTGAGCAAAATTTTCGAGTCAAATATAGATCAAATATTGCGATCATCTACTGACTATATTTGGTTACAAATTGTAGGATAAAACAAATTTTAATATATTTCTCCGATGCTATTTATTGAGAGAAATAATATCGTAATTATTTACTGAATACCTGCTGAAAATGTCATGCTTTTAAAATAATCAGTATTGTTTCACGTATGGTTTTAATTAATATATGACTTATTTTAACATTGAACAGGTTTTTTTGTTATATATATATCATTACTTTAAAAAGTGAAACGTGTAATTAACTGTTTCTAAGATAACAGGAAACCATTACCTTAAATAATAAATGTTTAATTACCATATTTTTGTTCATTAACTTTTAATATAAATATATTTTGTGTAGGTGATACATGTAGTAATGGTGACGATCAACATAAAGATGACAATGATAAACATCAAATGGATATTGATTTAGTTGAAGAAGATGAAGAATATTTTGTAAAAGAATTCAATAAACAAAAAGTTGAACATGAAGCTTTGAGTAAAAAATATAACAAACTTCTTTTTGCTTACCGGCGTTTAAAAAAGAAAAGTTTACGTAAGCATTATTATGATGATTAAGTTCAAACTTCTTTCTATTATCATATTTCTAGCTATACCTGGCGATGAAGGACGTCAATGGCTTATTCACGTTGTGAAAATACTTTCTCCACATTCACCAGGATTAAATACTGATAAAATTGCTAGAGCACTAAAAATTAAAAAATCATCATTATTGACTTCATGTATTCGAGAAACTGCCACGAATACAACTCGACAAGTCATTAAATTACTTTATACACCAGCTCAACTTGCAAAAGGTCATGGAAATGTTGTATCTCGACAAAAACGTAAATTAATTAAAGGTAAGATTCCACTTGAAGTTTGAAATTACATTTTAAATAATTAGAGTTAATTCACAGAAAGAAAATGTTATAATTAAAAAAATATTATGTCTAACTCTTTATACAACTCTTCTCTTCATCAACATGAGAGGATGCAGAAAATTAAATAGAAATCAACACTTAGATCTCTTTTATTTTTATATGTTCTTTCCTCATTTATCGATAATATGTTCAGAAAAGCAAAAGAAAATGTTATTCATTTTCTCAATAAATAAAAATTAAGTGGCAATAAACGGAAACTTGCTAAATTAAACGCCTTCATAGCTTAAAGTTCATCATTCAATATTAATTATGGTTCTTTGATTCTGTTTAGCATTTGTTGAACAAGAACATGGCTTAATTGAACATCGACCATTTTGTGAAGCAATTAATGGAGTTTTTCGTAGTTATGCTCATAAGTTGAAGAAACAAATGTTACTCATTAATGGCGAAAATTCGAATTTAATAGAAGGTCAACAAGGTGAATCACCAACAAATGATGTTAATGATGAAGAAGGTTCACATTCTTCAAACTATGAACAGCAACAACAAGAAGAAGAAGAAGACGACGAAGAAGAAGGTGTTGATGAAGATGATGGTGAAGAAGAAGAAGATATTGACGATGAAGAACTTACAGATGACGAAAACGATAAATTTTAATTTTTCAAAAGTATTTGTTAAATTTATGTTTTTGTTATAACAAGATACAAAAAAACAAGAAGAATAAAATAAATGATTAGAAAATAAAAGAAAGAAAAAAAATTTATATCGTTTGTTAGATATTTTCGAGATGGTTCATCGGTCAACTTTATATCGTCGTCGGAAAAGACTTCAGCAAGTTCTATGTATTGATACAAATGAGAGATTAGGCTCTCAAAAGTAACGATATCACTAGTTATTCATGTGTATGCTTAATTTTATTATTGTTCTTATGCTTTTTAGTAATGTGCAACAACATGTGCTTACTACAAATTCATTATCTTCATCAGGATTAAATAGTTCAAGTAAAAATGATAATGAAAATGAATGGTTCAACATAGATGAAGAAGATATCAATAATAATTCTAGTAATACATTTAAACTTGATGAATTTGTTTCAAGCAAATTGTAGATGTTTATCTGTCGTTATTTATAATTATGAAACATTTTCTTTTTTAGAAATGCTACACCTAAGGAAAAAGAGATTGCAGCGGCTTTGATTCTACTAAAAGGACGTCATAAACTTTCCAATACTTGTATTAAACATATATGTTATCTTTTACGTTCATTAAAAGTACCTAATGTACCAAAAAGTTATTCTCGAATTTTACGTATTTTTCATCATGAAACTCAATCAAAGGATAAATCAATTATGATAAATATTTGCAATGAGTGCAATCAAACTTGTAAAAATGCTATTAAATGTGATAATATTGTATGTAGTCAACATAAATGTTTTGAAAATGCTCCTTTACAGTTTTTATATATGCCTATATTACCTCAAATACGAAATATTCTTGCTTGTACACAACATTTAAATTTTAAACGTCAAGATCAATCTATATATTCAACTAATAATATGAAAGATGTTACTGATGCAGCAGCATATGATCGAATCTTATCACAACAATCAAGAACAAAATTTATCTCATTACTCATGAATATTGATGGTGTTCGGATAGCTAAAAGCTCGAATACATCCATATGGATTGTTAGTTTTGTTATTAATGAATTAAAACGAAATGAAAGATTCAAAATGAAAAATGTTATAACTGCTGGAGTATCATATGGTAAAAATAAACCATCACGAGATCAAATGTATATTATGCTTACTCCGATTGTACAAGAACTACAGCAGTTGGAATATAGAAGATATTTTAATTTAAAAGCATTAAATAATAAGCTTGAACTACTTCGAATTTTCTTATTAGCAGCTTGTTTAGACAAACCTGCTCAAGCCATCGTTCAAAATTTAGGTGAACCAATTGGTGCATATGGATGTGGTAGATGTGAATTAGCCGGTGAGTTTTTTCTTTGTCAGCTAGTTAATATAAGCATTTACTATTCAAAATACACTGTTCTGAAATCAAAATTTTTTTCAATATTCTTATTATGGAAGAAATTTTAGTCTTCTTTCTGATAATATCAAGAATTTCATTCTAAAGAATCAAGATGAACTAAGTTTGTCAAATCGAAACATCTAGCAATCAGCGTAATCCTCCAATTATTTGAATACTCAATAATAACACTGTTTAGTGTGCATGATTATATGTGTAAATCGAAAGATCTGGTGCATATTACACGGCTGTTTTTTTTCTTCTAATTTGTGATCTAAGACCTTTAACTGTTCACCCAATAAGGGACATATAGACACTCGACATTATGTACATAGATAGCTTTTGTTTCTTATACCTTTATAGACCATGTAGCATTATTCAGCCATGAATCGTAACCTTTCATCTAGCGCAAACACATAACGTATTATATATATATGTATTAATTAGTCTGTCTAAACTTATGATCACGGAAGTTAATATTACATTGAATGATAGTACTTTATAATTTATTTTATAAAACATTCTTTGAATATAAGAAAATTTCATAAATGCAATTGTTTAATAAAAACATATGTGAAAATATTTGTATTTATATTTTTTAGGTGAAACAGTTTATACTGACGTTGAGTCAAACCACAAGATTCGAGTATTTCCATTATTACCGAAAAGACAAACTCAACCTCGTCTTCGATCAAACTTTACACATGATGACATTATTAATATAGATGAAAATGATAAACCTGCTGATAAAGATGAATTACGTGATATGATGCGAGGTCATGTTGGACCATGTGTACTAAGACCTCTGAAATATTTTGATGTTGGGTATAGTTTTTTGTCAGATACATTACATAACGTGTATCACGGTGTTATGGTAAGTCATTGTACAAAAATTACAAGAATTTTCTACGGAATTTTTTAACTATTCATTAATATTTTTGTCTTTTATATGTAGAAACGATTATTATATTTGTGGTTCGATCGGGAATATCGTAAACAACCATGGTCTCAGTACCAAAAGATAAAACAAGTGGATGAATACTTGTCGAACTATAGATATCCTTCGAATATAACGAGAAGGCCACGGTCAATTATTAAATTCCATTTGTTCAAAGGTAATGAGTATAGATCTTTATTACTATTTGGTTTTATGGCATTCAAATCTTGTTTATCTACAATATATTATAATCATTTTTTACTTCTTGTTATTGGTACTCATCTTATCGAATCACGTTCAATCAATCAAGAACAAGTTGAATTAATTCAAGTATTATATGAAAAATTTCTTCGTTTATTTCCTGTTTTGTATACATCACGACATAATGTACAATGTGTGCACAGTCTTCATCATTTTTCTGCTAGTGTGAAAGAATGTGGTTCAAGTAGTAATTATAGTACTTTTAATTTTGAAAGCTTTTTAGGTAAAATCATCATATTATTATAAAATGACTGAACTAAATATATATTTTTCACTTTATTTTAAGGAATATTAACAGGTTCAATTCATGCAACTCGACGCTATGGTGCTGAAATTGAAAACAATATTCGAGTACTTCGTGAAGCATGCATTACATTTGATCAACCTGGTTTCAATTTATCTTTACATAAATTTTTGAACAATATGCAAAGAACTAAACGAACAATTATATTTGATTCTCAATCAGAAACTGTTAAACATCATGTACGTGTTCATACTCGTGATACTGATCCTATTGCTTTAAAACATATACAACAATCAATAAATAATAATAAAATTGATTTGTTCAAAACTTGTCATGTAAGTTTTTATCATATAATATGGAAAACGACAAATTTCTTTTTTAGATTGGTTCCAATCGATTTGCTACATTAACTGATCATGATACATCTACTTTTACTGATTCTTGTATTTTATTTACTATTAATGACACATTACGATTAGGTTTTATACGTCATATTATTCGTATTAATTGTATTAAACAATGTTCGTACTTATGTCAAGTTCAGTTAGTCACTATTGACTCATATCTTAATATAAATGTAAATGGAGATGTTGTGCCTTGTAAAAACGTTCTTTTTGGTAATCTGGATCCGCTCAACTCGTATGTGTATATAAAATTTGAAGAAATTATTGAAAAGATTATTCATGTTTTCGATAAACAATCAAAACGATTTATATTTTTTCGATTTCCAAATTTAGTTGAATCTTCATGATTAATGAAATAAAATAGTTCAAAATAAAAATAGTATGTTCTTAGAAAGGACGGGGGCGCATAAGAACGTGATTTGGCCCACTGAGGATTTTCACATATTACTCAGTACAATCTTATCTAGAATGAAAGAGTTTTTATCGCCGAGTAAAGTAGGACCAGATCTGA